ACACGCGTCCGTGAACATCTCTCTTCAGACAAGTCCTCACATATCTTCAAACATTTACAAAACTCAGAAAGTTGTCGTCAATCTTGCTCTGCGGATTGTTTTGAAATCCTTGATTCCGCCCCTACTAAATTTCAACTTAAACTTAAGGAGGCTATGCACATAAACTGGGAAAAGCCTAATTTAAACCAACAAGTTCATCACGTCAACATGACGCTTACGCTTTAGGCTTTATATTCTTTCCAACACTTTACTCACTCTAATATGTATTTTTGTCACTTAATCATAATTAATTGTGCATGTTTCGCCTAGTTGTTAAATAACCCTAACGGTTTTTCAAATAGTTTGTAACTGACGATGATGTTCGTAACATTAAAACACGTCTTATAAATTAAAAAATGTCGTACTCTTCTTGAAGATAACGATTTGCTTTCTGCTGTCTCGAATCATATGAAACAAATCAAACTTTGACCTATGGTAAGGTTACAAGTAACAAATTGATCTTCACAGGTTAATTGCAATGAAAGTCATTGCTGCAGAAAAAAAAAAAAGCCTGAAATTTTTTAAAACACTATGTTACCATATTTGCCTGCTCAGTTCTTCTGTTCCACTTATTTTATTCTAGGCACATGTGGTGATGGATGTCAGTAGAAACCTGTCAAAAGGTTATGGATTTGTAACATTACCTTGCAGAAGATCTGCCGAACTGGCCATGATATGGTAACTTTTTTATCTTTGCCCAGAGAAAGAGGATTTTTTTTCTATTGAAACACCAGCAAAACTAACAATGTTGTCTTAAATTTTACATGCTTTTGATTAAAAATCCTTCATAATTAGAAGACATTTATGGCCCACTTTTTTACCAAAAAGATTTGCCATTTTTGGCAAATTTGCATGTTCTGAACCATCTTTAGTTTAGCCAAATATTTTAGAGATTTTTATTAACAGCATCAAGGATGGTAATAATTGACTTTTGAAAGACATTTAATCATTTCAGAGAGCTAGCAAAGAGAGAAAATTAATCATGAGATGTACTGAATGTCTAAAACTTCAAATCAAGCCAGACTTCCTGTTATTTAAAGCGACCCCTAAACTCAAGCATGTAATAATGGTGGTTGAAAAATGATGGAACAGTTTTGATGTGACTATCTTTGTTGTCAACAGTATGCAGGAATTTGAAATTTATGGCCATTGTATGCAGTTAGGTTGGGGCCAAGGAAAAAGGAATGGAGTGTTGTCCAATACTGAAGATTCCTTAGGAACCAAAACAGGCTTAAAACAGTGTGAAAAGGTGAGAGTCATATAAACTGCTTCTCTTTTTGCAATGGCATGATGTAAATACATTAGGCAGGAAGGAAAAGCTGCCAGTAAGAGTAATGCATGGTTCGGTATTTTTTCGTTAACAGCTTGCAGCAACCAGTAGTTTCCACTAAAATGTCTAATAGCTTGCTATGATTGATCTTGTGGTCTTTTCTCTCCAGGAGTCTTTGATCAGGACGCTCACAAGAACAAAAGGGAACATTGTTTTTGATAAAGTGTTTACAGAAAGGGAGGACCTTCTACCAAAGTAAGCAGTATGAGGCGAATAAAAGAGGTTTTTACGGAATAAAAAGCTAATAGTTTTTAGACCCTTTTTCCTATTAGTTTTATTGCCTCAATTTATTCCTCGTGATGTTCCTTAAGGTGCCATTGAAATAAATGTTATTTTTTTCTTTCCTCTCTGTCTCAGGCCTGTAGGATTTTAATGTTCAACAAACTTTCTTACAGGACACCATATAAGAGAGATTGCTCAAGGTGGGATCAAGAAACACCGAGAAAGTCTCAGAAATTTGAGAGATTCGATTATGCAGAGGGAGATCCTATACAGCAAGGAAACAAAAAACACTCCTACAGGATGAGGTTTTCAGAAATTCGGAACCCTTTGTCACTCCACTCCAAACAGTTTGACTCAGAATCCGTTTCATTACAAGGAGATCAAGTTAACTACGAAGATGGTTTGATACAAAATGAGTCTAACCTAACACAAACGGAGACCAGAATTGCAGCTCTGCGCAGACAATCAGAGATCAGTCATGGCATATGTACGGGTGTTATTGCGAGTGGAGATGAAGCTATTTCAAATAATTGTTCAGTTGAAATTAGTTTGGATGTAAATAACGAAACACCTTTGACTTTGCCTGGAATCAGACAAAATCCAACTTACAGAAAAAGTCTTCTGGAAAACCATAAAGAAATCGACGATACAGGGAAGGATATACGTAGAGAATATGAGGTTACATGTGAAAAGACGAGGTATCATGTTGACCATAATTCTTTTTATTTCAATTTGATGTAAAAATGTTAAACCGTTCTAATCTTTCGATCCATTGCCTTGTCAGTAGATATTAGACAGATTTAGCACCCGGCGCGTTTCCTTGAAACGGCAAACATCAGCTGCTCTTTTACGTTGCACATAAAATAGCATGAACCTTGCTGCTTGAGCCACAGGTCACCCAGGCTCACTGTTTGTGTCACGTACACATGGCTAAATAGAGAGAACATATGGGGCGAAGTTTAGGTCTGGAAATTTGCTCGAAAATGAAAATAAAAATCAATGAAACTTACCATATGGCGATTTGTTGTTGTCCTTAATATGTGCGTGAAGAGTACTATGAAGGAAAGGTGAAGAGGAGTATTTTTCCCGAAACTTCGTGTACATATTAAGGACAACAACAAATCGCCACATGGTACAGTTTCATTGAAGTTTATTTCCATTTTCAAGCAAATTTCCAGATCTAAACTTCGCCCCATATGTTCTCTCTATTTGACCATATGTACGTGACACAAACAGTGAGCCTGGGTAACCTGTGCTCTGGCTTCGTGTGAACTCGCATCATGGTGGATTTGAAGTCGCCCTCGTATGACTTACATGGAATTGTTTTGGTCTGGGGGTTGTGCCCCTTTTCCGGCGATTAACTTCTACTCCGTGAAAGAAAAAGTGAAGGAAGGTCTTCGTACACGGCAAACGAGAAACAGGTTACTTTCACTAAAAACGGCAAAGTGCAACCGGCAAACGTGAAAAAAATGGCAGGGAAACAAGGTGACATGGTCAATCTTGCCTTTCATGTAAACGCGGTGCTAAATCTCTATTAGTAGGAAGTAGCTATGAAACGAGAAGGCTTTTAAATGTTTAGACTATGTAACCATTCTCATTTTTGCCAAGTGTTTTACCGTGGGAAATCCCAATGGAATCGTTGGTAATTAATTTTTTTTCTTCTTGTCATGAACAGGTTTAACACCGATGGACATAAAAAAAGTGTCATTCAATGGCTCACTCACAACCAAAAAGTTGCACTGGTAAGTTACTTGATGTATGCTTCGGCAACGTAGCTCGTTCTCACGGTTCCCGCTCTTTCTTCCTCGAGGGAGTAAAGAGGAGCCTGGGGACGAAGTTGAAGGAACTGACTTCGAATATGTTGCTGTGAAAATAATTTATTTTGTGGGGGGAGGGGGGACGCATTTTTGTGGGAAGAAATTCTACGCTGGCGGCAAAAGTAAGAATTAAATGCACTCTGAGCATCCAGAGCTAAAAAGTCTTTGAGGGCAAAGGTAGTGGGAAGCGGCATTTGACAGATTTTTTAAATCAGTGCGATTTTTTTTGTCTTGCTTTTTGGCAGTTAAAATCGGCTTGTTCAAAGCTTCGCAGTTGTGGCGTCCGAGGTCACCTTGGAGTATTCGGTGTTCATTACGAAACGGATAACAGTCGTGTGTACGTAGTTTGCGCTAAACACGTGACCGAAGGACAACTACTCAATGAATTCAAAGCGTTTGGAACTGCGGAGGTTAAACTTGTTGCTGATGTCAACGGATTTTCCAAGGTAGATTTCTTTTCCTTCGCTTTCTTCTTTTCATTTTAGAGACTGCCTCTTCTTCTTGTGTTACGGCCCTTTTCTTGTTTACGCTTTTTTCTTGTACTCAAACAAACCTTTAGTTGCCACTCTCCTATCTGGTTTTCCGTTTACGTTTTATCACCTTATATCGTTTTTTTCATAACGTCGTTTTTTGCTTTCGTTGCTTGCCTGTTTGTGTTTGGAACTTTCTAAAGCCAATGTTACGCGCAGTGATTGGTTCAAATAATTGCCCCACCCATCTAACCAATCAGATGCAAAACTTAAACCAACTTTAACCTTTACTTTAAGATCTCATAGGCTTCTCTTATTTTCCGGTCGGCCAAGTTGATAATTTTGGTTTTTGCCTTTTACGACATTCAATCAATCTCCCTTTCTCATTCCTTTGTGTGTAATTTTTTTTCCACAATTTTTCATTAAATCAATCAATGCAGTATTTCGTTTGTCAATAATTTTTCCCATCTTGCTTTTCTCTCAGGGTTGTGCCTTTATTCAGTACACAGATAGCGCATGTGCAGAAAGAGCCATAAAACAGATGCATGGAAAGGTAAGCAAAGCAATAGGTTCAGATCAGACACTCATTAGGTACTTTCCCTTGAGGAGATTTGTTAAGGGTGGAGTGCAGAATTTTTTTTAATCTAAATTTGCCGCAAATTCTGCCGAAATCTTATGCACAAACTTTTCTTCCAAACATTTTTTCCCACAGGTTGTGGGAGGTATGCCAATGAAAGTAATGGTGGCTGAACCTAAACTTCCCAAAGGATCACAAAGGAAGAGCTTATTGGTGTGACTTTGGACTCTTAGCCATTGCACATCGGCAATCCTCTGATTTCAAATCCTTTTCTGATGTACTTGCTATTCACTAGAAGGGTCTATTTCACAGAGGAGTATTGTAACCGTTTTTAATAGATACAGTCTGTGTTGAAGGAGATCTCCCCTTTAAGCTAAAGTAGTTTAATGCTAGCCCTTAAACTCCCACGAGTGACCAAGACAGAATTTCTCCTTACAATATCAAGCAGACAAGTGATGAGAATAAAGAAAAACATCAGTTAGGGATTATTAGTTAATCCAATACCAAATTTTCTGACAAATTGTAAGAACTGTATGGGAGAGTAAGAGGAATTAATGAGATCTTGGTGATGACAGCTACGCGTAATTAAACAAAAATCAAGTAAAGAAAACACTCAAGAATAGCAATAAAGGAACCATAACATGCATGAGGGGTTTTCTGATGGAAAAAGTATTTGGAATGTATATATTTGTGAATTCTTTTTTTTTTTTTTTTTTAAGAAACACAATGTAAAAATGTACAAAGCTTTGTAAAAAAAACAAAAGAGGTTTAATTTTACAAAAGATGCCTAGCAATGTCATAGGATTCTATACAAGCAACATTTTAAGTATTCAAGTTATTCAGTATAACAAGCCCATTGGCTATATGAATCTTAAAAACTATAATTTTTCCATCACAAACAGTAGCTTTGAGGTGATTTGAATGAAAAGGTATTAAGAGAAAACACTTTTTAGGTCTACAAAGTTAAATAAATACAACAAACACAATGACAATCCGTTGGGAACCCTTCATTGGGCTGTGTCATTTTAAAATACATATGTACAGTGTGATATCCATGAACACTTTGAAGATCTCTAAATAAATCTGCAAGGTTCACTCAGTTTCTTGGCAGTGAAAACAGAATAATAAACAGCTTTATCAACTGACAAGACCTGGAGAAAGAGAAGGTAGTAGAAATGAGTGGGCTTGCTTTCTTTCTTTTTCGATACACATACAAGCAACATTGGAGTCAGAATCTTGGCCACATGAAAGTATTTTTGGTAATATGATCCTCTTGTCCACAATAATGCAGATTCTTCAGATGAGTTCAAGAAAAAGACAACACTCTTACCTAGATAATCATCCATCAGTGAACCAATAGCAAACTGAAAATCAGAACAGCAAGACATTACTTTTAAAACAACAGAACTCTCTAGAGACATTTATACTGTACCATAGCTAAAACATGATGAAGATTTTGCCATTCCCCTCACAAGAGGCATTTCAAGTGCCCCCCCCCCCCTCCTTGAGAGCCACAAGATAACCACACTGAAATTTAACTTTTCCAGAACAATTTACCATTGGTTCATGTGCACTCCAAGACGTTCTTTAAGAATGAATAGCATCTAAATTCAATCGATCATGAACTCAAAAAGGTCTTGCTTCTTAAACAAATTCTCCTTTCAAGTTACCATAGGAAATGTATAGAAAACAGTATGAAGAACTTGCATATTAATGCTAAGATGTAATCTGTAAAAAGAACAACCATCCACCAATCCCATGGAATCACTAAACTTACAATGTCATTAGCATCAACCCTGGTTCCTACTACTCTGAGACGAATTTCATCATCCTGTTGAATCACAATGTCCTATGAACAGAAACAGTTGTTATTAAAAGGAAACAGAATTAAGTGAGCTGCTGTAGCAAATTTTGAGCTTTAACCAAACTACCTTCCTCCAAATAAATTATCATTCTCCAATTCAAGTTATCAGCTTTTATTTGATCGTTCAATCGTTTATTAATAAGTTTTCTTTAAATGTATGAGAGCAATCTTTGCAGGCCTTTGCAGGCCTGAAAAAATTCAGGCCCATATGGGATTTGAACCCATGACCTCTGCGATACCGGCGCAGTGCTCTTCCAATGGACCCAACATGCCAACTGGGAGCTGGTCCAGTCAAAGTGATAAATCAATGAATTTGAATATATGAATATCATATAAGTATACTGCAGTTTCATGAAATGTAAGAAAGCAATCCCCACAGTAACAAACCCTACATAATGGTATTAGTGGAAATAAGGCCTAAAAAAATTCAGTACACACATATGATTTTCGTATATTCAAATTTGTTAATTTTTCTCTACTGTGCCACCAACACAGTACAACTTTTGTTTTAGATCCTAATAAGATAGAAATTGGAATAAAGATGTTTGGATCTTCTGTCATAGTCAAGACTGTGATAATGCTTTAACTCCCGTGA